CCCGAGGTGTCCATCTGCTTCGCCAACCGCTCGGCCGCTCTCTTCCACCTCGGGCACTTTGAGGTAAGTGGTGGTGGGGCACTGGGACCCACGGCAGCCCGGCCCCCCGGGCTCCTGGGTGCCCAGAGGGTGGCCTGAGGCCTCCCGTGTAGCAGGAGGGGGGAACGGGGTGCGTTACCGCACAGTGTTTGCACACTACGGCTCCCGTGGGTGCTTCTGCACACCCCGCAATAGCGGGTGTTTGATTATTAGAAGAAGAGATCAGACGTGCTGAAGCTGTGCTTAAAGCATGCATCGTTACTTAGATTTTCTGAAGGGTTCTTGCTTTCCTTGTTGTTCCACGTCAGGAGGCTTTATTTGGCCAACAACTTAGCTATGCACGTGGAATTTTTTGATTAATCTTATTAATATACAGAATCGTAGAATTGTTTTGGTTGGAAAAGATCGCCAAGTCCAACCCAGCACTGCCAATTCTACCCTAAACCATGTCCCTGAGCACTAATGCTGTTCTGCATCTTAGATGGAATAAAAGAGTAGGAGTCACAGCTGGTTTTCAAGTACATTTCCAAGGCCTTGTCTTTGTTTCTAGGTTTGTTTGGAAGATATTGCCAGGGCTGAAAGTCATGGCTATCCAGACAAGCTGCTTCCCAAGGTCTTGCTGCGGAAAGCTGAATGTCTGCTGTGTTTGGGGAGGTTACAGGATGCAGCAGATGCCCTCAGTGTGGTGGAGAATAGAATTACTAAGGATGGGATCATGGCTGGTCCTACACAGCAGATATTGCTAAAAAAGTTAAGTCAGCTGAAGATTAAACTCCATGAGAAAGAGAGCTGTCCAGAGCCTGCACAAGAAGGATGTGGTGATGTTCAAAGAAAGTCGGAGATCTGGGAAGAGAATGGCAGCATTTCAGGCGCATCTTCATCTTTGACCTTGAATTTTGATATAGAGAGAGGACGTCACTTGGTGGCCGTCGAGAACATCCTGCCAGGACAGAGCCTGTTGGAAGAGGAGGCCTTTGTAAGCGTGCTCTGCCCAGAGGAGAGCCACCTTCTGCAGGACAGCAGCGAAACAGCGTGGGATACTCGAGTCACTAATGCGGATCTTTATTGCCACCGCTGTCTGAGGCAGCTCTTAGCCTCAGTGCCTTGCCGGGGGTGCAGTTATGCCAAGTATTGTAGCCAGAACTGTGCGGACGTGGCGTGGGAGCAGTACCACAGGACAGAGTGCTCCCTGGGAGCGCTGCTTCTCACTTTAGGGGTCTTTTGCCATGTTGCCTTGAGGACTGTTCTGCTGGCGGGATTTGCAGAGGTTAGCAGGCTGGTGGAATGGTCCCACCATGGTGACAAGGACCTTCATAACCCTGAGGCACCAGATACCAGAGGTATCCCTGGTTGTAACGACAATGGTCAGTACCAGAGCTCTTACCAAGCTGTGTTCAACCTTCTGCCACACGCTGAGAAGCACAGCCCTGAACATAAGTTCCTTTGTATGCTGAGTGTAGTAGCGATATGCAGACAACTGCAAGACACTGGCCTGGAGGCTGCTCTTTTGAATCAGGAATCATCTGAGAAGTGGTCCAAACCAGAGACATGTGAAAAACGACTGGGTGAATTGTCTCCAGAGCTGAAGACTGTGGCAGAGGCGATGCTGAGGCATGTGTTGCAGCTGCAGTGCAATGCACAAGCAATCACTGTAATGCAGGAGTCGGGTAAGATAAAAATTTGTAACTTCCTCTGTTGTCCTTGTTTATCTAGGTTGTGTGAAGAGATTGAATTATCAGTTGTAACAAGCTCCCATCACCCATGGGAATGACTTGCTTAAAATTTAACGGCCTGTCCAATGCTGGCCCATTCTTTGGTGCATGTGTAGAGGGTATTTAGCTATTATTTTTTGCAGGAATATACCAGAAACCTTTCTACTGTGATCTGCAGTGGGTCACGGCTTGTTTATCTGGGTTGTGTGAAGAGATTGAATTATCAGTTGTAACAAGCTCCCATCACCCATGGGAATGACTTGCTTAAAATTTAACGGCCTGTCCAATGCTGGCCCATTCTTTGGTGCATGTGTAGAGGGTATTTAGCTATTATTTTTTGCAGGAATATACCAGAAACCTTTCTACTGTGATCTGCAGTGGGTCACGGGGCTCATTGCAGAAGTTGCGTGGGTTACTGAGCATTCGTTCTCAACCTGCTTGTTTTTCCTCTGTCTTTAGTGTCCGGAGATGGTGCTGTTGTAAACAAGAAGCCGGTGCGCCTGGCGACAGCCTTCTTTCCTGTCCTCAGCCTTCTGAACCATTCGTGCTGTCCCAATATCAGCGTGGCGTTTAGTGGGACAGCTGCCACTGTCAGGGCAACGCAGCCAATCCCAAGCGGCCAAGAGATTTTCCATTGCTATGGTAAGTATTAACGCTCTGTCTCAAGGCACAGACATCCTTTCACCTATACTTGATGTGCTAACGGATTGCTATTAGTATTATCATTCCCAGCATAATGTTTCTAGAGTCTTTGTTTATGTACAAGCCATGATCAAAGATACCAACGCAAGATTTTATCTCCTGAGCTCACTGTTACAATTTCAGTCTCATAGAATTGTTTTGATTGGAAAAGACCTTTAAGACCATCGAGTCCAACCGTCTCCAGTTATGTCCTCTCCAAAAGATGATATATCTAGTCTCACTTATAACAAAAGTAGATTAAGAACTGTACCTGCTTGGAGGTTTCTACCCTTGCCATCCCTTTGCAGGACCTCACCAATGTAGAATGAAGGTTGCTGAGAGACAACGGCTTCTCGGTCAGTATTTCTTCGAGTGTCGCTGTCGGGCATGTCTCGATGAGTTGGAGTCTGATGCCAAGAGTGTGGTGTCCGCCAGAAACTCCTTCTGCTGTCCTAGCTGCCGGGCTCCAATGCAGGTAGTTCTTCCATAGTTACGGTTGTGTAACTTACCGCAGTGTGTAACATTACAGGCCTCAGTCTGTGATCTCTGCTCAAAAGCACCTGTAGAGTCAAGACAGTGTCTCACTGTTCTCAGCAGCTTTCTTGTCATGTTCTTGTATGTCAGTCTTCCAGGATTATAGGGAAAATAACACCTTTAAGAGCAAGTTAACATCCCTTTGAACTTGATGAAGGAATTTAAGAATATCAGAATTATGGACTAGTCCAGAAGGGAGATATTTAGGAAGGCAAATGAAGGCCTGGAGTCTAGAGCAGAAGGTGTATGTACAGGGGCTGTATGTGGAGTAGAACTCTGCAGTTCACAGGATGTACATGAAAACAGCATGTGGTGTGGGTTAGATGGGGAGAAGTCAACACAGCATGAGTTGTGTAGGAACATGAATGCATGAACGTTGTGTATGACCCTCCTTTGGCCTGATCTGTAGTTCTCATTGTCATAGCTATTCCTGGAATTTTCTCATAACATCGAATAAGCGAATAGCAATTTACAAGCAAGTCTCTTTGCTTAATGAATGCAACTGAGAAACGCTTTAGCATCTCCATAACGCAGTACAGAGATAACGGAGATGGAAAGAAAGCTTTGAGTTGAACGTGAACAGGAATGATCACGGGGATTATTTCCACAGGGGGAAGACATGCTTTGTTGTTCCAGTGAAGCATGTGCAGTCTCACTCAGCAGAGAGAGCTTGTCACGCCGTTTACGGGACCTTCAGCAACAAATGGAGAAAGCATTAGAGCTGCTAAGAGACAAGAAGGCTGGTAAGGGCTCAACTTTCTACTTTAAGGTCAGCAGCTAATGCGTATGCATCGGGAGATGTAGTTCTAGCCACGCGATGGCACTGTTGCTTATGCAGTTGGGGTCTTCTGGCATGCAACCTAGTGTCCCTATGGACTTGAGCTTTAAGGGTTTTCATACCCCTGATCTGGGTGTTAATCTAAGTCACATGTTGTTCCATAGTAACTAAAAGAACTCAGGGTAACATTGGAGTTAGGCATTCCCAGGCTTTGCTTTCCAGGAGTGAGTCGGGCCAACTCTGCATTAGAATAAGCAGGGTTGCAGATGAAGGCAGTGTTGAATCCCAACCAAATCCAAATGTAGCTGTGTAAAATGCAAAGATGAGATTGGACTGATTTTATTTCAGGGATAGCTGGAGTCTGGCCAGTGGGATGAATTTTATACCCCGTTTTATTACAGATCAGGCTATCAAAATGCTCCTGCAGTGTCAGAAGGATGCTGGAAACTTCTTGTCTCCAGAGCATTTGCTGATGGGAGAGATGGAGGATCATCTGGCACAAGTCTATGCTACTCTTGGTATGGCATTGTCTCAGTATCTATAGTTTTCTGAACTTAGAATCTAACATGACTACTAGCCTTTTTTCTGACTAGCCCCTTCACTTTTCTCCTGCTGCATTTCTCTAGTGCTGACAGCAGGGCTCTCGGACTCCTTTAGCTTAAACCACGTTCCCAGCAGCCAGTGAACAATAATGTGATCTCATGTTCCTCTAGATTCCCTGTCCTGGTTCCGAGGTCAGCAGCTTCCCAAGAATGCTTTGGACATAGTCCATTGCATTTTGCGTCACGCTCTCAGATCCTTTGGGTGGCAGTAGCTCCAGAAAGTATCTATTCATGATTTGTTTCTTGGTTTGTTTTTTTTCCACCAGGGAAGTGGCAGGAAGCAGCCAGACACCTGGAGAGGAGTATTGAGATTGTGGAAATGCATCATGGGCCATCAAGTGCAGAATTAGGTCATGAACTTTTCAAGCTGGCACAAATTCTCTTCAATGGGTAAATTTGCTTTCATGCTCTCCCTTCTCCGCACCGCTCCCGGGTGTCCAACACAGTGTCATGGTGGGTGGCACCTTGCAGGGTGTCTCACAGGCCCCTGGGCAGTCTGCCGCAGGTACAGAAGTTGGCCATGACTCAAGTGGAAGTTCATTAACCCCACTGGGGTTCACTTACACCTCATGACTCTCTTTGGACCCATTTCTCTGCTTTGTGCCTGTTCTTCTCCCTGGCTCCATTTATTCCCTGTCCTGTTGGTTTATTTTGACAACTAGTCACGCTGGGTGTTTACACCTCAGTTGTGTAACGTTGCTGGCCTCTTTTTAAAGGAGGAAATACAATCCTCTTGCTCTGTTTTTGCCCTCTTCTGGCAAGCAAACCCCCTGGCTGCTCCTGAAAATCCTCTCACAACACCTCCCTTTACCTGAATTCTTTTTAGCAGGAGCTGCAGGGAGGAAGTCGTGGGTGCTTAAAGATAATGTTTTACGTTTTTGTCCATCTCCTTACCTTTTATCTCCCTATTTGCAGCTGAGGTGCCCAGAACTGACAGGCAGGATCTGTACCCACAAACAGGTTTAGGTTTTTGTTGGGGAGGGGTTAAAGGCTGTGTAAGTCAAGGAGATGAATTAAGTATTTTGTGTACTCTGTTCTTATTCTCCTCTTCTTTCAGATTTGCAGTTTCTGAAGCTCTGAGCACAATTGAAAGAGCAGAGGAGATTTTGTCAGTGCACTGTGGTCCTCAGAGTGCTCAGATCCAGGAACTACAAGAGATGAAGACGTGTCTGTTGGAGCTTCCAAGAAGCATCCTTCAGAGGACTTAATTTTCCTGTCAAAGGAAACTGCAATGTGATCTTTCATCAAAGCTAAGTTTCATGTGGTAAGGTAGTCCCATAGTACAAGCTGGAAAATCAGATGTAACAACTTGAGTGAAATCTGAAATGCTCTTTAGTGAGACTGTTGTAAATAAAATGAGCAATTCTAATGTGAGGGGTCTGTGTGCGGTGGGAATAGCTGTTGGTGTATCATTTCTGCCTGTGGGTCTGAAGCAAATGTTTGAGATGCTTGTGTTTGCCTGCATTTCTAGAGATGTGTATCTCCCACGGGTGGCACCCTGATGGTTACGAACACGCAGTCATCCAGACCGTGCTGCCTTTTATTTCTAATGCTGTGAGGCGCTTTTCTTCTTGCCGGTGTGAACCGTAAATGGCTGGAATGGGTGAGGCAGCAGGCTGGGAAGTGCAAACTTAGAAGCTCTAAGAGGGGGCACTGCAGAAATTGGAGGGCTACCAGCGCAGAGCTGTGACTGATGAGGGATTCGGTCTAAACAACTGGCATCAGGTTGGAAGATGGGATAGGGAAAG